ATTTAACTTCTTTACTGGGGTCATCTTTGCTTGTCCCTCATCAAGTAACGTCCTGATAACGTCATATAAATCTGTGTTTTGCACTCAGTGAAAACATTTCTTAAATACACTCGTTTGAAATAATGTAACTAATAAAAAAATTGAAATAATTATCTTCTTTTTTGGTATTTGCTGAATTAACGGTCGCAAACTGAGTTTTTACGGTGACGAGTCAGCGTTTCAACCCTGCAAAAGGAGTTGACATTTCTCAGTTGATTCATTACGCAATAGCATGCTCTACGTATATGTATGCACATTTTCTTAAAACGGGGTAAATTATTGACAACAAAATTTAGAGGTCTGCTCTGCTCCTATTCTGTAATGCTTAATGGATTATTTTTTTGGAATGTTTAATTGACTTTTGAGCTTGAATACTGTTCGTTATCTCCATCCTGTAAATATTATAGTTCTCTCAATATTCGATTATGTTCGATTCTACGTCTCAAATGTGTATTTAAGATGTAAATAACAAGTTAAAAACCTATAGCTAATGGGAAATGAAGCGGGTTGCAATTGGTACGTGCTAAGATCCTCTGAGGACTTCACGGGATTTCATCACGTGACTTGCCCATTTCATCTGACAGTGAATTGTTCACATTAATTTTGTTATTTATTTCTTAAATGAATTGAGATTTGCACTAGCACTTTATATAATTATATATAATTAAATACAATAAATTGACTATCAGCAATAACTGAACAGTAGTGGGCTAATTACGTAATTGCTATAAATACCCAAAGTTACCCTTTACAGTAAGTGACCGTCACTTTATGACCGACGTCATGTGTTAGCAGATATATGCCTTATTCTGATAATGGATAGAACCCCTTTTTGCAGATCAATTGGTTCGGAAAAAATGCATATAGAATACAGCTTTAGATTAATTCTTTGCTAAAATTTACACAGTATATTTCAATTACAAGTAATTTAAAAGTTCGGACAGACCTAACATTGCTCTGTTTTCAAATATTGTTTCTATTTTTAAAAAAATCACATTTTGCTATTTTGTTTTAATGAATTTTACGATTAGTGATATTTTATTATGCTATCTTTATCACCTTACATATTTACATTTGTTGAAGTTGTAGGCTAGCCAAGCGCAAAGAAATGAATAGAATTAAAATAAACCTGACCAGACATTTTAATATGATATTTTTCAATTATTTGGATAAGAAAAGAGGCAGTAGTGTAGAGGCCACCTGCGTCTTTGATCTGAGTTTTATGTTAATGACTGTTTATCTGAGTGAAATATGGATGCAAGTGAAATAACTTCCCAAAGCAATCTATTTCAATTTATTTTTTTTTTATTCCAGCATTAATAAATAAATCCATAAGTTCACCTGAAGGTCCCTTGCAAGTGAATTTAACATATTCTTTTGAATGTTGGATGAGATAAGGAGAAAACGAATAGTTTGCAAACTCGAAAATTTAATTAATAATATAGGGAGTGTATTTATAACATCAGAGGTGAGAGCAGGTGCCAAAGAGATAGGAAATACTCCATCATGTAATAAGCATTTGTTAATGATTTTATTTTTTTTAATCCAGATAACAGCGATAGACCCGTGCTGTAATACTGCCATGCATAGATGTGGTCGATATGGCCCATTTTCTCTGACCTTGAGGGGTAGATTAATAAGAATCACTTTTGTTTCTGATGGGCATCACAGAGAGAAAGGATTCAGTCTAACATGGATAGGTAAAGGATAAGAAAGGACTTTGCTGAAATTTCTTACATGTTGCTAAGTAAAGCAAAAAGAAATTTCTTTTTTATTCAAAATTACTTAATTATTTCAGTCTGTCAACGAACATTAACAGTTTCCACCACACAAGCAGTGATGTCAACCACAAAAACAACGAATATTCCTACACGAACAACAAATACAACAAGAAACAAAGAGGAATTCATCATCGCACGAACAAAACAGATCCCCATTCAAATTGATAAGTTTCGAAGAAGAACAGCTTTGAAAACAACAGCACAAAAATCAACTGCCAATTTCTATGACAAAGAAAGAGGCAAGTATATTAGAAAATAATTTGTTCTTGTTAGTTAGTTTTTCGATTAACATTTATAGTCTAAGATAGTAGAAATAACGATTTGCATTATATAGGAAGTATTTTTAAATTTTATTTCTCACCATATTATGATAAATGCTTCGAATCCCAATGCAAGGGTAATTACGCGTGCGTTCTAGGAAGTGGTATAACAATTTTGAGACCGTGAATTTTTACAAAGATGGTTTACACAATATATTTAATCACCCGATGAATTCAATTTTCATAGACGCTCGACTAAATAGCTAGTAGGGCATAAATGTTACAAAATTCATGTCATATATACATGCATATCACAAATATCCGCTTCCATCGAGTTGTAATGCCCCCCAAATCAAGAAAAATTGAGAAAAAGAAGTCGTGAATACAGAATAGCGAAAGGATCAGGCCGAGATATCATGGAGGAAGGGCATACAAGTGACACGCATAGGCGTCGGAACCTGAAGCAAGGAGGGGGGCTTTCCCTCCTCCCACTTTTTTGCAAAAATAAACATTATATAGGCATTAAAAATTGGTAATTACCTTATTTTATTGGTTTAGCCTCCCTCCCACTTTTGATTAGCCCCCCACCCCCTTTCAATTTGCTTCCGACGCCCATGTCACGCATGACACCCCAGATTCTGAATTGGGTAGTGGAATCAAGATGAAGAGGTCTTACAATTCCGGATCACAAACCACAGCCATCCATTGCCAGAAGAAGCCCTAGCGCCAGTTGCCAATCTCAGGCGGATGCATGCAACTCACGGGTAGGTATTTATACTAATTTTGGAGAAATTAGGCTTTGTTGGAAGGTCATGGATAGTAACCCTGGCCGTGACTGACTAGAGTTGATAAAAAAAAACTAGATAGGGAATTAATATGAGCAGTACCTGTTGTTAAGTACAGCTATTTGTAAGAACCAGGCAGGGGGTGATTCATAGCCATTTCAGATTTTTACAAAATTTTAATATGTTGCTTCATGGACCAAGGGAACATCATTGGACAACATAATTTTTTTGGCCAGCCTTTGTTGCCATGGAAACAATGCACCATGTAAATGCACATGGCAACCAAGCAAAAAATTGAAAAAAAATGTGAATTTAGCTATTATTGAACACAGGAACAGAGCTTTTTTGATGATAGTACCATAAATAAATCTGTTTATCCTGAGAAGTACATACAAAATGATAAATAATTACCATAAGGATAAGATTATATAAGATTTATTAAAGGTACTAAATTTCAATTTAACGTAGGTCATTTCATAAAAATCACTTTTCACATAATTTCTTTAAATGCAACATATTTTAGAAGCATATTCAGAAAAAGGCCAGCATGTTGGAGAAATCTGATAACATGGGATAGAAGGAGCACATTCTTAATTTTAATAAAATTAAATAAAACCCATGGGTTTTTTAAAAATATTCTGTTACCATGGCAACAAAATGTCACAAAAATTCATTTTTCAATTTTTCACAATAATAACCATTTTTATGAGCATATTAAGAAAAAATGCCACATGTTAAAGAAATCTGATAATGTGGAATAGAAAAAGCACTGTCTTAATTTCAATAAAATTAAATAAAACCCATGGGTTTTTAAATAATATTCTGTTACCATGGCAACAAAATGTCACAAAAATTCATTTTTCACAATAATAACCATTTTTAAGAGCATATTAAGAAAAAATGCCACATGTTAAAGAAATCTGATAATGTGGAATAGAAAGAGCACTTTCTTAATTTCAATAAAATTAAATAGAACCCATGGGTTTTGTAAAAAATATTCTGATACCATGGCAACAAAATGTCACAAAAATTCATTTTTCAATTTTTCACAATAATAACCGTTTTTAGGAGCATAGTAAGAAAAAATGCCACATGTTAAAGAAATCTGATAATGTGGAATAGAAAGAGCGCTTTCTTAATTTCAATAAAATTAAATAAAACCCATGGGTTTTTAAGTAATATTCTGTTACCATGACAACAAAATGTCACAAAAATTCATTTTTCACAATGATAACCATTTTTAAGAGCATAGTTAGAAAAAACCCACATGTTAAAGAAAACTTAAAGCATGGGATAGAAAGACAACATTCTTAATTCTAATATAACAAAACAAAACCATTATCAGGTTTTTCAAAAATATTCTGTAACCATGGCAACAGAATATCACAAAAATTTATTTTTCAAGAAAATGCTAAAATACATCATTTTCAGAGTATGTTGTGGAAAAAATACCACAAGCACAAAAAAAAAAATCATATTATAAGATAGAAAATGTTCTCCTAAACCTTACAAATATTAGATAAAACCAGTGGATTTCTCATAAATATTTGAAACCATGGTAACAAATTATTCTGGAAATGCCTTAAAGTTTTTAAATACATGTAATTGTCTTTACAAAATCTCCATACAATACGAAATAATTATTGACTAACATACATGTATTATTTTCACAGTTTATTGTAAATGCATGAAAATATATTTTTTTTAATATGCTTTTGTGATTTGTATCTGGTTACCATGACAATATCTCCAAAAATATTGTATTTGCCTATACAATTTGGCCAATGTGATTAGCTTATATGAAGAAAACTGTATGAGTGGCCATTAGCTAAAATATTGAAAGACACAACATTTTTTTTTTTGAATAAATATTTGGTTTCTGTGGTAACTGTGATTAACCATTTATGAGACATGATCTAAATATTTCAATTGTATTTTTAATGCAATTTTTTGAATAATCATCTGTAAATGTACTTTTTGCTGAAATATATAGTTTACAGTAAAGAAATCTCGAAAAAATGTCAATATAACATTATAAAGTGTATCAAATGTCAAAAAATCCATGTTCTTGACTAGATAGTCAAACTAAAATTCAAATTTTATGTTGAAGGGGTGTAATATTACATGTAAATATCCTTGGGTGTATCCTGGTCTTGGTTTCAATAAAACCCCTTTTACATTTGGAGGAGCTTAAAAATCAATATCCTTTGTTTCTGGTCTGGATTTCTTTCAAAAAGTTTTAAACTGAAAGTGTCTTTATTAGAGTTTTTTAGCCATCATTTAGAAATGTGCCATTGAGATTTTCTGTATCAACAGTACAGGTACATCTATGTGTCCTGGCTGCTAAATAGGTGCTCCAGCTAGATTCCTCTGACGTAGAGCATGTGGTTGATTCATCTCTCTGGAAAAATATAATTGAAAATTTGAACTTGTTAATGAAAATAGGCATTCCACAAAGCAATTTTTTGTTGTTGTTGTTGAAGGAAGAGAGTAGCTAAGGTTCGTTTTCTCTATGAACATGATCATGAATACAAGAAGGCCATGGTCCATAACACTCACCAGAGTAACTGGTCATTCTGTTCTACACCAAATTTTCCTACTTGTAATACATATTGTGGTTTAGGCCTATATTCTTAGGGGGAGGGGGACATAATTTAAACAATTTAGAATCTACACTTAACCCCTGGATGCTTCAACATAAGTTTCAGCTTTTCAGCGTTTCTATTTTTCTCTTTTCTTGATTATCACCCCTTGTATGGTGTCTTAGCCCTGCCAAGTGTGGTAAAATTTGGCCCTGTTGTTCTTGAGAAAAACCTCAGCTCTACAATTCTTCTCTAAATTTTCAAGTGATGTAACCCCTTCTTTAACCTCATCCCATCCTTGCCTCAAATAGTTAGCTGTTATTTGATTCTGAATATTAATATGACTATTACAGCCTTGCTCATCTGAAAAGGGTTTTTTTCAACGACAAAAATTCTGTTTAGATATGCTGCATTTTACAAATTTTAATTTTTAACTTTCTACTGATTTTAGTTTCCAATATTCAAAGAAACATTTGAATAGATTGAACAAAATAATGAAGATCACACTGTGTTACATTTACAATGATACATCTTTTACTCCTATTTGGCTTCCACATACATGTAACTGCAGTACAACTTGTTTAGTACAAAGACGTGGACATTGTGAATTCACAGATATAGTGAAGTCTTCTTGGATCCCCAACTATATAAATTTCACATATTACAAATATGGATATAATGAATTATTGATATATATAGCGAATACTTTTACAGTTCCTAGTTTGTTATAACCGAGTTGTACATATATGTGTAGATAAATGATTTAACAAGAGACCCAGGGCCACATCACTCACCTGGCTTGGATAAAAATTAAAAATCAGCTTTGTTTTGAAATGCTTAAATGCATATGACATCTCCCTCTAATGGAGAGAGAGAGAGAGAGAGAGAGAGGGAGGGTATGATTGAACATAACTGAATCTACACTAAGGATGCTTACGGGGTATTTATTTTTGACTAACTGTGAGTTTTAATTTCTCTACAAGTTGGAACTTTTTTTGTGGCCCCACCCTATACCTGAAGGGGGGGGGGTCATAATTTGAACAAATCCACACTACGAGAAAATGCTTCCATGTCCATGATGCATATATATAACTTACTGGCTTTTCTGTTCTTTAGAAGAATATTTTTAAAGGATTTTTTCTCTATATTCTTATGTAAAAAATTTGATTGGCCTTTGTGGTCCCACCCTATCCCTGGGGTCATGATTTGATCAAACTTGAATCTACACCACCTGAAAATGCTTCCATATAAATATTACCAAACAAGGCTTGCTGTATCCGAGAAGAAGATTTTAAAATATTTTTTTTTTATGTATTCCTATGTTAAACTTTGATCATCCTAATGTCCCCGTCCTACACCTGGGGTTCATGATTTGAAAAATTTGAATCTACACTACCCAACAATGGTTCCACATAAGTTTCATATTTCCTGGGCCATTGGTTCTTGAGAAGATACATGTATCAGTAATGCTATTAAATTTTGCAATTCTCTCCCTTCGAAGAATGACAATGACAGACAAAAGACAATCTTTGATCAGAAAAGATCACTTGAGCCTTCAACTCAGGTGAGCTAAAAAAAAATTCAGAGAATCAAGATCAAAAGAAATACCTGTTTCAAAGTCTCTGAATGGCAGTGTTCACTATAATTCAGCCCTTAGTCAGAAGGTCCTTGATTGCTAAACAAAAAGGAATGTTCGTAATGATAATTAAAAAAAAAAACGGAAGTTGTCAACACAAAATACCAAATTATCTAATGATACATAAATAATATAAAGTATATATAACACTAACGTTAGTTGAATTGATTATCTTTTCTTGGTGACAGTGGTCCTCAATTTTTAAAGTTTACATTACCTCAGCTGTGCAGGTGTTGTCCAAGGGGATTTTGAAATTCAGAACAAGGCTCAGATTGCATCTGAAATGATAACAAATCATGAAATTCATCATATGACAAGAGAATGCATACATTTATATAACCATTTAGCTTTTGAATTATTGATAATTAAATATTTATTTACCTCCCCCATGTACTAGTTAAATCATCATGAATTTATACTATTAGTTTTAATTCTAAATTAGACGAAAACATTGGCAGAAACCCATGCATATTTTATGTGCTCTCATATTTATAAATCTCTCTCTTTTCTATGTGTGTATATTGTGTATATATTTGCTTAGGAATATTTGGGAGCCCCCCCCCCCCCCCTGGATAGAGTTTTATGGCTTTTTTAAAAGATTCTTTGGGGAGGTTTACACCCCATCCCCCCGTTTCAACTGATAAAACCATAATAGTATTTTATTAGTTGTTTTGCTTGTCAATTAAATTTTGTAGGACTCCTCACCCTTATCTATAATTCAAATAAAAGCAAATGCAATTATAGAATATCATACATGTACACATATAAGTTTGAAAAAATAGAGTTTGAAAGGGCACAATTTTACATTTTGATTACATGAATAAGAAAAATAGTAATTATGGTTTTGCCATAACATCTGAGTTTTTTTATGGGCTTAATTAAATATTCACGATTTTAAGAAGGACCCATTGGCCATTCCGAAAACAGTGTTTGAAATAACAGTGCGCCTGACCGCCCGATACGCACAAATTTTGCTGTGGGCTTACCAATTTGCACATATCGATGCCACGCTGGACTTGTTTAAAGTTTTCATTAATTAGAATTTGTTAATTTGATTAATCGCTTCCAGATCAACTAATGGTATCATGAGCAGTACAGGATTTGTGATTAAAAAGGGGGGGGGGGGGGCGTGGATAACTTTGTTCAGGCAAGGGGTCTTGATAGTGATACTCCAAAGAACAGTCGTATGTTAGTCATACCATAGTTTGAATGAAGGGGGTCCAGGGGGCTCCTGAGATTTCGTGTGTTTAAGAGTAAAATTAGGCAAAAAAATAGTGGTATTGTACGAAAGTATGGCATTATTAATATAATACTTTCCTACAGCAAAACATGGAATCTATTATATTCATATGGGAGGCGGGGGGGGAGTGGGGGTTATCATTTGCTCATTGCTCACAGTACCTCTAGTTTCAAAAATCAATTTTACAAAAGACAATTATTTTCTCAGGCTGGTAGATTTTTAGCAGGCCTGATAACTTTTACTAGCAGTCAGGCCTAGAAAAAAAATATGTTTGTTTCCGCTTTCCCGACCGACCCTAATTTATTGTGCCGACCCTAAATTTTTTTTTAATGCTTCTGTCCCATGAAGTGCAATATTTCACCCAGGGAATCATAGTCTCCAATTTTGCAAGCTTTTCAAGACAGGAAGAAGTTTGAGTCAACTTTCTATTATAAGTTTAAGTCACAGAAATGCTTGAAAACACCATTTCTTTTGTCATTAATGTTACTTCTATACACGTTTTGTTTAAAGAAGTAAAAAAAAAATTTCAAAAAAAAATTTGCCTACCTACCTACCTACCCTATATTTTTTTAGCCTGAAAGCGGAAACAAAAATAGCCAATAGTGTCTTTGTTTACACATTAGTCTGTGTTATGTATTGAATAATAAATACCTGATCTAAATATGACATCCATAGAGGCGCCGAGACATAGAAAAAATTATGCTCCATCCAATCTCTGCTATGACTTTCACTGCTTCTTGCTATGACTTCATGTATGCTGAGGTCGAGGACTTCTTCCGGTCGACTGGGAGTGTATATTGCCACAGGAGTCGGCAATTTTATCAATAAATAGAAAATAAATGGTAAACAGGCATAAATCCTACCAGTGAGCTTCGCGAGCGCAGCGACTCCTGTGATATTGCAGTACTAAGGGAGTATCGACGGAAAGGAGAGATACTCATCATACTGTAATCCCCAGCAGCGAGCTAGTGTTCAAATTCCAGTACAAAATTCAGTATTTTCCCAAAATTAACTGAATTTAAGTAGTTTTGATGTTACTGTTAAACATGTTAGCTTTTTCAAAACACTCAAACTCTGTTTTTATTTAGCATGTTTAGGAAATAAAACTTTGTTTTTGTCAAATAAAATCAAGCAAATTGCAGGCAGTTATTATTTTTATCCTAGGCTTATATTTTTCTAATAATATTTTAGACTTACATGCCCCTTGGATGTATGAAAACTGTCAAAACATATCCAAAATGAAGATGAAATCACACACATTTCTTAATCCCCACCTTCTAAATTGAAGAGTTAAATACACTCTTTCCAACTCCTTTTACTAAAGAGTGCCAAGGGAGATAACTAGAATTTCATGTTTTTACAAAATTTAAAATCACAATATCTATTCGTAATTAAAATAACCCATGGGTTTTTAAATTGTTTTTTATTCTTTGATACTAGATGCTTAATATTTTAAAATTCACATTCAAGGAGAGTGCGGGCCTTCTTAAAAAATCACCTACCCGTACAGACACTTTTCAATGGATATTGTTGACAGTTTCAGTATATATTGAATTCATTTTTTAATCAACTATGCATGAAATCCATTTATAACTGTGATTAAGTATTTAGTTTGATGTATCTTAATGTAAATATGATAGTTTTTGAAAAATCTATCACTATCATGAATCACTTATTTTCATTTCTGCCTGGTTCTTATAAATAGCTGTACTTAAAATCAATCAAAATAAAAAAAAAATCCTGTGTGACCAATCCGTATGTATATGCCGATAGATTCTTAGAAATGAAACCCTATTTCTTAAGTATTGCGTAAGGTATCCTGTTCCATGTTAGATATTCTTATTTCTCTGGAAACCATATATCTATCATCAGTATATTTTAAAATAAATAGGGATGTCAAAATATTTTTTTCCTTAGTCGAACATTCGATTGCTTTATTCGAACGATAGTTGACTATTCGGAGCATTTTGAAAGAAAAATCTCATCGATAGCGTTTTCAGAATTCGAAAACCCTTTTCGTAAATTAATGTAAAAAGTAACATTAAATGCCTATACTGTGTGTTACACACCGATATTCAGATGAACGATAAGGTGTAGAAATGAAGTAGATTTACAACTGCAATTGATTCTCAAAAATGTATGAAAATTCGTAAATCAAATTGATAAATTGGTCGGTGCATTCTTTCGTTTTATTACGCTTAGAGAATTGTCCGCAGTGTTTTTAAAGCTTATTTAAAATAAATTGGAAAAGGGGAGGAGATTTTTGTTTTATAATTATCGAAGTTTTAAAACTTCACGGCTATACTATGTTCCTATTGCATAATTTCAACATTCTTAGAGGTATTAAATAAATTTATAATTGGTACAAGTCCAATTAATAATTTTCAAACTCCAGTAAAACGCTGCATAATTTACTACAAAAACAAAAAAGGACAGTAATTAAGAAACAATTATCGTGGTCTGCAATTACTGTTCTTTCTATGTAAACAATCTAAAGACGGATACTATAATGGTTTGAGTTAACACCTCATTTTTTGCATTTATTAATTATTCGAGTGTCGTTTCATTATTCGATCGTCGGTCTATTCTACTGATAGTCCAATAGTCAACTATTCGTTGACATCCCTAAAAATAAAACGTTTCTATGTAAAATCCATTGAAAGTACTCCAACTAATCCGAAGAATAACCTGGACGCAAAATAGAGTCAAACTCTTACGTGACAACCTTTTTTTTTGTTTATTTGTTTTGTTACGGAATATTTCATTGGTCAGGTTTTAGTCTGTGTCGTGTTGGCACCCGAAACATATCTCGTTTTTTTTTTAAACTATGTCTATACAAACAAATTAATTATTATCATTCGTAACCAAATTAAAAAAGAACCGCTCAGACACAATACAATTGAAAAAATATAGAATATGAATAAAACAAACTATGGAGTATTGATTGAAAATCTGATCTATACACTGATAATACAAATGGAAAAAATGGCCACATACACGGGGCCTCGGTTTATACGGTCTCATTTTTTTTTTACAATTCAAAATCTGTTTAACAATACAAATTGAAAAAATGGAATACAAGTAAATTTTTACAATTCAAATGCACATTATAGAATATAAATGAAAACAATAGAATACAAATAGAAAATTATCCAATGAAACATATGTAAATAACGAACAGTATTCAAGATCAAAAGTCCATAAAACAATACAAAACCTAGGAAAACCTCCAAAACCTTGAAGGTGGGATCAGGTGCCATGGAGGAGTGGGCACATCCTACCGACCGGTCACACCCGCCGTATGTTCCTTGTCATGATCGTGAAATAACGGGAAAGCCCGTCGTCAAATCAATGTGTAAATAATGGACTAACAATTGGTATATAGTGCGCTTTCTCTCAGACGACTGGGGGAATGTTACTTCAACTTTTCATGAATAAAGTATGATGACTATATATAGCTAGCTGTATTATTGCTGAAAACATTTTCAGTATCAATATCGCTGTCGTTGCCATAAAAACGTACGAAAAGTTAAGAATTTTTTCCAGAACTTTAAAAAAATTTAATTCACCCATCTTCATGGCAACAGTAGAAATTAATGAAAAGAAAGCTATACTTTGATTTTCTCGCAAACTGCTCAGTCAATCATTTCAAAACTTGTATTGATAATTCCTTATATTTCGTCATTTTGAAGTCATTCTAAAAAATAAGAATCTTTTTTTCAAACAGTTGTCTTAGGAATGAAAAAAGAAAATAGGTAATGTTGACACAGATGTTTTCCGAGGTGACTTGGACAATTATGATGAAAATTTGCGCGAATTTTAAACGGGCCCAAAGTTTTCCTCAAATTCAATTTTGCTGAAACTTTGATTATTTGTTACAGGATACAAAAGTTTGCATGATATGAAAGAAATAACAACATAGTTTGAAATGTGGGCATAAGAATTGTGAAATAAAACGGGGCTTATTTTAAAAAAATTGATATATTGCTTTGTGTAATACTGTTTATAAAGATAGCCTTTTTGTTACTTAAACTCAGCAAGTTATACTGATATTGATGAATTTGAATAAAATATGACGTAAAGATAGAACATACATAGCGTCGGAATTGAAAAACAATTCACATGTAAATAATTGTCTTACGAGAAAATGTATGATTCAATTTTTACAAAAAATCATTTCAAAATTTGTAAAATGTGTAAAATTGATTATTCCAGTGGTTTATATTTTGTTAAAAAAATTTTGAAGTCGTATCAATATTTAATTGATATATTGCTTTGTGTAAGTTTACTGCATTTAATAAAGATAGCCTTTTTGACCAAATTTACTATTATAAACTCAGCAAGTTATACTGATATTGATGAATTTGAATAAAATATGATGTAAAGATAGAACATACATAGCGTCGGAATTGAAAAACAATTCACATTAAATAATTGTCTTGCGCAAAAATGTATGATTCAATTTTTACTTAAAAAAAATCAACAGAATGATTCAAATGGGTTTCAGAATAAAATGTGTAAAACTAAAGAAAATTGAACCAGTGGTTTCAAATATTTTGGCGATTTAAAAAATTCGATGACAAAAAAAGGTAAAGAGAGTCAATGTTTATGAAACTAATATTTTTTTAATCTTTGATCAAATATAAATAAAATGGATACCAACATCTCATATTTTGCCATTTATTTATGAAACTAAAGTTTCACTGCATTTAATAACATTTTTCTCCAGTACTTTTTGAGAAATGAGGTAAAATAGAATCCACGGATGTTTTGTATTACCTTAAAATTTAAGAATTTCTAGAGGCCTACCGTTTCCATGAAACAGGAGTAATGTAATGGCTTTTGAATTTCACTTTTCTCAATACACTGTACTACCAAATCAAACTTTTTCAAAACTTATTGGTTTTATTTATTTTCAATGTATCACAGTGGCTAAACTTAAATTGATGGTCAGAGGAAGGAAGTCGGAACGACTTGTTTGTTTTTATTTACTCTCCGAAGTCTCGAATAATTGACAAATCAAGACGTAAAAAAGTGGTGCATATTGGCACTATATAAAAAAGAAACTGTGAATGTATTATTATTAATAATTTGTTTCAGTGGTGTGGGAGATGTTGCAGATGAGAGATGGGTACCGTTCAATATTGATTGTTCTAGTGTCTATGGTTTTGCTATGGGAAACCCGAAATATGTATCCGATCAAATAATGAAATAGGAGGTGACAATGACACTGTGACAACAAAGATCATAATTATGAAAGACTCAATTAATTTCATTCAGTGGCAGGAGGTTATAGATAAGAGATGGGTGCTCCAAACCATAATAGACGGATGGAAAAACGGACACATAGGCAGACAGACTGACAGATATCCCCATCACCATATACAACCCTACGAATATAATTAACTATGTATCTTACTTTCAGGACCAGTGATACAAACTTTTACACACACACACCCCAAAAAAAATTAAAATTGAGTCATGTTTTAATGAGTAAAATGAATAGATTTCCCACGTAGGTTTTAATTGTATAGTCAAACTTTCATTTGAAGAATGAGATCTGAAGTGAAAAATATTTGTATAGATTAATAAGGATGGTTTCAAAGAGGCAAAATTTAAATTCCGTTGTTTTGTAGGAGTAATGTTTTGTAAAGACAATATTGATTCAACGCTATGGAATGAACCTTTCATATAAGTTTCCTTCGCTCTTACCTGTGGTTCTTGAAAAGATTTTTATAAAGATAATTTCTTTCTTCTATATCTTCCATTGTAAACCTTTGACACC